AATCCCTTAGAGAAAAATTTAAAGAAATAAATATATTAACTTTGGCCTCTCAATATATTTACGAGAACTTATAGTATATACACAAAAACAAAAACGACTCCAAAGGGTCAGTAATTTCTTCACGCAGCAATGTATACCCTTTTACAACAAAGTCCGAGAGAATATGCCGACCTTTTCTATCAAAAGGTTTAAATCAAAGAGAATATAACCACTACGTTTAGTTTAAATTATTTATGAAACTAAAATTGTCTAGTAACGGTTATTATACTACTAAAGAGTTTTCATAACAATTGTATAAAATATTATATTGTAAATTGTCCCGCTGGGTTTCTTGCTGGTTCTTCTCAGGACACAGGATTTTTTTTGCGAACTAGTGGTAAAAATAAAAAAGTACTTTCAATAAGTATTATGTACTATAATCTATATTGAATAAAAAGGATTCAATTTTATTCTATTCTATTCCTATTAAACTAAACAATCAACCGTTTAATTTTAATCGTTTACAATATCCAATATTAAGTAGCATTTTCAATAACAACATATCCCAGATTTAAAATTTGAAAATAGCGGGATTACATTTAAGTGTGGTACGTTTTTCCCATGCTCTATGCAGCTTACTCACATGTTGCTAGGGCAAAGGTCAAAATCAGCACGTTTTCGCTAAGTGAAATCATTTAAAAAGCGTAGAGCGTTCGAGGTTTAGTAGAAATAATTTCAATAATAAACAAGTGGTATAATTAAGATTTTTGTACAACCGACTTCAATATAAATAAAATGAGAACATCATCAATGTTCGAAGTTAATTAACCGGTTCATAGCGGATGGCACGCCAGGCGTGCCATTGATTATTTTTTGAGTCGTGTCTTTTTTAAAACTTTTTATAAGTCGCTCAAATTACGTTTTTGGAAGATTTATCCAGAACGATATATTCATTATTTTGCAAGTAGTTTATGCCTACTTCTTCGTTTCTGGATCTTTTGAAAATTTGAAATTTTTAGGGTTTGACAACCTTTTTTTAACTTGTACATGGTACTCTTTTTAGGGTTCCGTACCTCAAAAGGAAAAAACGGAACCTTTATAGGATCACTTTGTTGTCCGTCTGTCTGTCTGTCTGTGTGAAGACCCTTTTTCTCAGAAACGCGTGGAGGTATCAAGCTGAAATTCATATCAAATACTACTGTCCCTTGGAACTGTGAAAAAATCAAACTTCTAAGCCAACGCAATCAAAAGATACAGCCGTTTATGCCGCAAATTTTCGACATTCGCAAGGACTTCCCGTGAACTCAGAATCTTAAAATTTGGTACGAAGCAACGTATTATAGCACAGATAAAGGAAAAATTGCGAAAAGCATAAATTTTTAGTTACATCATATAATCAAAATATGTTTAATAATTTTAAACTTATATACCTACGGATTTGTTCGGAACCCTCGGTGCGCGAGTCCGACTCGCACTTGGCCAGTTTTTTATTACTTTGTGGATTTTAAATCATGTTGTGGAAAAATAGTCTTATAGTAACAAATAATAGCAATCATTGCGATCGCCCACAAACTCAAGTTGTAAATAAATTTCTGGAAAACAAATCTCCTGTTAAAAACAACGATGCGTTTGTCTTATTGTTTAATTTTGCTTAAAATGGTTAATCTGTCGTCTTATTACTATCATGTGGCCGAATAGACCTACGAAGTACCATGTGCTCTTGTGATATAGTATAAGGTTTATTTTTGCTTCAAACAGTGCGAAACTGTTTATGCATAAAAAAATTTCGCTAATAAAAAGTCTTTTGTCAATCCGCCGCCGTATAGCGCCGGCGTTTTTTTCCTTTTGAAAACACTTGTTGTGGTATTCTTACTAATTAGACGTATTCAGATCGACTTTACTTTTACATTTGTATAACATTAAATAATATTTAACATTTGTAAATATCAATGGATCATAAACCTCATTATTTTCCAAATTAAAATTCTTGATTGTTTGATATTTACAAATGTTATTATTAGGTGAAAATTTAATTTATTAAAAACCGAGGTTTTCCAGGGTGATTTAGGTGTACCTACTTATATATATGATTTTTTTATAAAACAAAAAATAGTACAAAAGGTTTGTAATCTCTGCATAAAAAAGTCACTTACTCTCAATTTCAAAGAAAACACGTAGAAAAACACGTAGTTACCCACTAAAAACAAGTATCTTTCCGTTTTTAACTGATGTTTGATGTCAACTAAATTTAATTAGGTCTAAACAAGTGAAAAAAGCATAAAAAAGAAAATTTTTTTTACACATGGCTGATGGCACAATAGGCGTATCATCAACTTTTGTGGCGCTTGACACGCCAGGCGTGAAATATTTGTTCGCCGCCACAGCTAAAAGTTGTCGAAAATCGGTGCCGCAACGAATTACGCATTATTGAGGATAACTCAAAAACGTTCAGTTAGATCTTGATCAAATTTATATGGGGCCACATGAGAAGCACCAGCTTTCAAATAAAAAAGAATCATCAAAATCGGTTTAACTAGAAAAAAATTCTAAGGTAACACATAATAACACAACCTTCTAGTTTTTTGAAGTCGGTTGAAAAATTGTGGGCTTTCAAATAAATACGAATGGAGCCGCGGGTAAAAACTAGTGCACACTAAGTCTTTTTTTTCGTTTTAGTACATTTAAGTTTTGTATAAACTAAAGTGACACGGGAACTTACTGTACATGATCGTAAATAACCACTGTCCGTGGGCACTTGCCGCTAAAGGTAATGCCACTAAACAAAGGCTATCAATAATAATGTTACATACAATTATGTAACAATCCTAATAACTAGAGGAGGACTGTACTCAGCAGTGTGACTTATGTAGGCTATACTTTACTTTTCACATTGTCTATCGCTCTCGTGTTTCCCTTTTGCTATTTAAGACAGAAAATTACTTACACATTTCACCTCTTTTATCTTCTCTTCTTATCGTGGTAGAGCCATGCTGCAGATATATTAGTAGTAGATATAGTTGTTGCACGATCGGCTCGACCGAGGAAGGACCACGCTCTCGTAGAATACCAGCGTAAAATAGCAGCTCAACTCTGCTGTGTTTCGTATTTTGAGTGTAGAGAACTGGAGAACCTTTTTAATGGAAATGAGGCATTCCATCTTAGTCCTCACGAGTGGCAAAGCATCTGCATTTTTATTTGTAATAGAGGATAGATGTAGATGTCTATGGGCCGCAGCAACCACTTACCATGAGGTGGACTGTGTGCTCGTTTGTCACCCTTATTCTATAAAAAAACCTCACTGTAGGGAAATATAACAAAAGGAAATAGGCACTGTACGTAAAGACCATTAATACTATTTGGCTTCATTCGTTCAATAAATAAAAAAATAATAAAGTAAACGAATCTTTATTGAAATCTGGCGAGATCACATTTTAATAATATAATGTTACATACAATTATGTAACAATAATTACCATAATACGATTTATTATTGTACATATTATAATTACAATTACGTTGAACAGGGAAGTCCGTAGACTGCCTACCCCTCTGCGTAACAGGTGTGAGAGCTTATGTTTTTATGAATATAATTACTTACAACTAAATTTAAAAATACGACATCTATGTGAAAATTTAATAAATTTTATTTATTTAATCGTATAAATGTTACAGAATAAAAATTAATAAACATTACACATTCCATCTTAATCGTCAGGAAAGACATCGCATTCTGCATTCATTTCAGCATCCACTTAGGACTATTATTTTATACGTGGTAGAGCCATGCTGCAGCTATATTAGTAGCATAGTTGTAGCACGAATGGGTCGGCTCGACCGGGGAAGGACCACGCTCTCACATAATACCAGCGTAAAATAGCAATTTAACACTGCTGTGTTTCGTATGATGAGTGTAGAGAACAGGAGACCCTTTTTACTGGAAAAGAGGCATTCCATCTTAGTCCTCACGGGTGACAACGCATCTGCATTTTGATTCGCAAACGAGGATAAATGTAGATGTCTATGGGCCACAGCAACAACTTACCATCAGGTGGACTATGCGCTCGTTTGTCACCCGATCCTATAAAAAAATTAATTAGGAAGGCGAGGTTTGTCACTATACTATAAAAATATAAGTTTATTACGCCATTTAAAACACAATTAAAGTTTTTGTAATATAATATTGTTAGTTATAGCTGTGATGTCGGCGTGATTGTACCCATTATTTCATCCCGTGGGCGCGGGTTCGAATCTAGAAAGGATCGAAATGACCACGTCAGAATCAGACCAGATACCGAATCAGAGCGGTGTCGGTATTATCTCGTGCATGATAGAACTTTATACCCAAACCGACGACAGAAATAACTGATCCGGCTGCCAAGCGCGACGATTATGGCAAATTCTTCTGGTAGTGAGAAGTTGATAATTTTGGGCGAATAAAAAATGAAATGATTAGACGATAACCTTCGGATCAAAATTCGTTTTCGTTGCATCCGCTTAACATTCAATTTTATCTTATTTTTTATTGTTAACAATCAAAACTTAACTGTAAGTAAAGTTGAAAACAAAAACAAAATCAGATTTCTTTAGAAAACCAGCTCCTAGAAAACAATGACTTTTATTTCTGATTTTGTTGTTTGAGGGTAGATAAAAAATTGCGAGGGACCGTACATCGAAGGAATTTTAAATTTTTTTATGATAAGAAATATCAAATAGCCTTACTTTTTCTTAACATACTTTTACGTACTTGTAAATTTATAAAAACCTGGTTACTTAATATAAGGTAATAAAAATATTATTTCACAACCATATAATTTTACTTTCCCGAAAGAAATATCAATAATCGATGTGGATAAAATTCTTACAAATTTTTGAAAAAATATTTATAATAATTACTTATTATATATATTTAATTAACTTACCTATATACTAACATTATATTTAATCTCTTAAAGTGTAAATTATTGTAGGTCTAATCTAGCGTATTTATTTATACAAATAACGTATTAAGAAATATTATGATTTTACAAATGCTTTCGTACGTCGTGAACCATCAGATTCTTAAGATAATTGTCGTCTTCAGCGAGACATTCGACAATATCAAAGTGATCTAAATCGTCTTTTATTTCCAAATACATATTCTGCATAAGACACGTGTTGTGGAGGAGTTCGTAGAACTCTCTAGACTGTTTTTTGAACGCCGGGCTGTCGTTTTGTGCGGCTAGAATGTACACTCTTACTCTTCTTGCCTGCAAATGAGTATAGCAATCGAACAATGGCGACAGTGGTATTGCCCACTCATGTGGGAGTTGTACAGCGTCATTGACAGATGTATGGACTAACTCCCGTAAATCGTATATACCCGAGATAAGGAAAGCTCCTTGTAACCGATGCGATCCTGGATTGTCCTCGAAGAAATCGACGTTGCTTAACAGCTTTGCCACTAAGTGAGCGCCGGCTGAGTGACCCGCAAAGTACACGCCTCTGTAAATAAATAAAATAATTAGAGCATTATAAATAAAGAAAAAAGGAAAGCTGATGATCTATGACCCAGTTCCTTCTCTGCGTAGAACTTCTCTGAATTTCACACATCACTATCCTTATAGCCTTTGAAGAGTTCTCTAAAGAGTAAGAAGGCCAATTTTCAGACATTCATAATAAACAATAACGTATACAGTTGGTAAATAAAACTTGTCAATATAGCCAAATCTTTTACGTATATGTTCAAATTGCAAAACGTGTTTTTTTTTAAATATTCTCGGGCTTAAGGAAGTGTCTTTGTAACGAAAGAAGTCCCTTAGCAACGGCACCATATGATATATAGGCTACTACTACAATTGCATATTTTATATTATTCTTCACAGCTTCATTCTAGCGATTTATGTTAACTTGTAGCTCCATCTCATAGCTTCCAGCCTTGCACGGTACTTAAAGGCAGAAAAAATTATTTAATGGCAATGCAAAAAAATTTATAATAATATTATTTTATGGAATGAAATACATAAATTCATAAAAATATTGTCATGGAAATTGTGATGCGGGAAACTATGAGAGTTCTCTCTGTCACGGCAAAATAAATTAATATTAACGAATTTTTTTATTTTTTAATAAGGCTTACCAACTAAATACATAAAAGGAACTTATAATATCACGATTTTTGAAAAATACATTATACATATGCGTTTAAATTAAAGGTATGCACAGCATTTTTTAATAATAAAAGACGTTGTTTTACATAATACATATTAAATTTTTTAAACTTTTTTTAGTACAGAAAAAAATATGAAAGAATTAGAAACCAAAAATAAAAACTAAAAACTAAAAATGGCTCTTGCAACAATCCAAAATCGATTTTTTTTAAAGTAGTAGGTTTTTCACAAAAGACTAACTAACTATATAATATACGAGCATAGTTTTTCGAAAAATGATTAGATATTTTTATGACTACATATTATACAAATTGAATATATACAAAACTAATTTAATTACAGGTGTCACGTCAACCCGTACCGGCAATGAAATAAATAACGAGATGCAAGACATCACCTTTGATGACGGCATTATGGGCCAGCCTGACCACCTGATTTCACCGAACATGACCATTGTAACCGAAATTACCTCCGAACCAGTGCCGTCGTCTGTGCCCGACGCTATGGAGGTCAAGTTAGAAGAGTCAATTTTAAGTTTGTTGCGAGATGCTCAGAGTGCGATTCACTTAGGGTCACCAGTACACAAAGATATCGCATTTCGATGACTAGAAATTTTACCAAGAGTATTTAAAGAAGATACAAAGTTGAAACTTTTAATTGATTATATAATAATAATCACTTAATAATACATAACAATATTTACAGACTCATATCGCCTATCTTAAATGCTGAAGTAAAAGCTTCATTACCTGTTACATTAGTTAAACGTGTCCTTACATCAACGACAAAACAAAAACAAATAGCGATCACCTTGTATTCGCTTAGTGCATCTATGGATATACTATTGACAAATAAAACTCAAGATATACCCGAAATTATATTAAAGTCTTTAAGCAATGCATGTATACTTCTTTGTGATAGTTTTTATAATGAAACTCGTTTAAGAAGACTCTTTATTATTAATGCGATAAACATTCAGATTAGACACGCAATTATAGACACTATACCTGATAAATATTTATTTGGAGAAAACATTAGTGACAAATTAAAAGAAATCGAGCGATATTTTAAAACCAAGCCATAGATTTATTAGGAATTCACCATCTGCCGATTCCAAAAGGAATTTAAACTAGAAGGGCCCATCTCGGAGGATTGCTGTCCGATCCGACATGGGCAGGCCGCGGCCACAGCATCGAACAGTCCAAACTACGGCAAGGACCATCTACCGCAGACGCAACAAGCATCACAGCCATCTAGCGATGCACTCTTGTTATGCGCCTCACAATCAACATCGTCACTGAACATTGAGGTACGATATGCTGGTCGCTTGTCTCACTTCTCTCAACAATGGGAGACTATCACGGGAGACCTTCTCCTACTATCATGGCTGAGTGGGTATAAAATTCCTTTCATTTGTAATCCACGTCACGATATCCCACACACTATTGCAAGATCGATTGCGGAATTAAATGCTCTTAATACCTGCATTAAAAAACTATTACTTATCGCTGTTATTTCTGAGTCTAGTCACCAAAACGATGAATTCATTAACAGTGCGTTCTTAGTGCCAAAATCTAATGGCGATAAGCGATTTATATTAATAAAGTGTCTCAAAATATCGTAAAGACAGTCCACTTTAAATTGGAAGACTACCATACGGCTTTAAAATGATGTCACTAAATTGTTAATCTATCGAAATGCAGATGCTTTGTCACCCGTGAGGATTAAGATGGAATGCCTCGTTTCACGTAAATAGGTTAAGTCTCCGGTTCTCTACACTCACCATAGGGAACATAGCAGTATTGATTGAGATGCTATTTTACGCTGGTATTCTGTGAGAGCGTGGTCCTTTCCCGGTCGAGCCGAACCATTCGTGCTACAACCGTACTAATAATTATTTGCTAAATTATTAAAACCCGTGGTACCTGTGAAGTAACGGCACGGTTTTTGCTAAATACTAAAATAAAGACACAGTCATTGATCAAAACTCCTTTGCGCGATCAATACTGTCAAATAAATTGTCAATGATTAACATAATGTACACAAAGTGCTGAAAATGAACGAAAGAATGGAGCTGTTGGCATAATAAGGATCGAACTTCACTTGGTAAGTTCGTTTGATCACTAACTTTAGTTCACATCTTCGCCCACGGGACTACTCCGCAGCCTACGAAAACTATATTTTTACGTAATTTAGGAAGTTAGGGAAAAGAAAAGGAAAGTTAGGATAAGGTGGCTGCCAACATTGGTTTAATTCTAATTATTTGTGATTCAGACAAACCTTGATCCCATCTTGACTCGCACTTGGCCAGTTTTTTATTACTTTGTGGATTTTAAATCATGTTGTGGAAAAATAGTCTTATAGTAACAAATAATAGCAATCATTGCGATCGCCCACAAACTCAAGTTGTAAATAAATTTCTGGAAAACAAATCTCCTGTTAAAAACAACGATGCGTTTGTCTTATTGTTTAATTTTGCTTAAAATGGTTAATCTGTCGTCTTATTACTATCATGTGGCCGAATAGACCTACGAAGTACCATGTGCTCTTGTGATATAGTATAAGGTTTATTTTTGCTTCAAACAGTGCGAAACTGTTTATGCATAAAAAAATTTCGCTAATAAAAAGTCTTTTGTCAATCCGCCGCCGTATAGCGCCGGCGTTTTTTTCCTTTTGAAAACACTTGTTGTGGTATTCTTACTAATTAGACGTATTCAGATCGACTTTACTTTTACATTTGTATAACATTAAATAATATTTAACATTTGTAAATATCAATGGATCATAAACCTCATTATTTTCCAAATTAAAATTCTTGATTGTTTGATATTTACAAATGTTATTATTAGGTGAAAATTTAATTTATTAAAAACCGAGGTTTTCCAGGGTGATTTAGGTGTACCTACTTATATATATGATTTTTTTATAAAACAAAAAATAGTACAAAAGGTTTGTAATCTCTGCATAAAAAAGTCACTTACTCTCAATTTCAAAGAAAACACGTAGAAAAACACGTAGTTACCCACTAAAAACAAGTATCTTTCCGTTTTTAACTGATGTTTGATGTCAACTAAATTTAATTAGGTCTAAACAAGTGAAAAAAGCATAAAAAAGAAAATTTTTTTTACACATGGCTGATGGCACAATAGGCGTATCATCAACTTTTGTGGCGCTTGACACGCCAGGCGTGAAATATTTGTTCGCCGCCACAGCTAAAAGTTGTCGAAAATCGGTGCCGCAACGAATTACGCATTATTGAGGATAACTCAAAAACGTTCAGTTAGATCTTGATCAAATTTATATGGGGCCACATGAGAAGCACCAGCTTTCAAATAAAAAAGAATCATCAAAATCGGTTTAACTAGAAAAAAATTCTAAGGTAACACATAATAACACAACCTTCTAGTTTTTTGAAGTCGGTTGAAAAATTGTGGGCTTTCAAATAAATACGAATGGAGCCGCGGGTAAAAACTAGTGCACACTAAGTCTTTTTTTTCGTTTTAGTACATTTAAGTTTTGTATAAACTAAAGTGACACGGGAACTTACTGTACATGATCGTAAATAACCACTGTCCGTGGGCACTTGCCGCTAAAGGTAATGCCACTAAACAAAGGCTATCAATAATAATGTTACATACAATTATGTAACAATCCTAATAACTAGAGGAGGACTGTACTCAGCAGTGTGACTTATGTAGGCTATACTTTACTTTTCACATTGTCTATCGCTCTCGTGTTTCCCTTTTGCTATTTAAGACAGAAAATTACTTACACATTTCACCTCTTTTATCTTCTCTTCTTATCGTGGTAGAGCCATGCTGCAGATATATTAGTAGTAGATATAGTTGTTGCACGATCGGCTCGACCGAGGAAGGACCACGCTCTCGTAGAATACCAGCGTAAAATAGCAGCTCAACTCTGCTGTGTTTCGTATTTTGAGTGTAGAGAACTGGAGAACCTTTTTAATGGAAATGAGGCATTCCATCTTAGTCCTCACGAGTGGCAAAGCATCTGCATTTTTATTTGTAATAGAGGATAGATGTAGATGTCTATGGGCCGCAGCAACCACTTACCATGAGGTGGACTGTGTGCTCGTTTGTCACCCTTATTCTATAAAAAAACCTCACTGTAGGGAAATATAACAAAAGGAAATAGGCACTGTACGTAAAGACCATTAATACTATTTGGCTTCATTCGTTCAATAAATAAAAAAATAATAAAGTAAACGAATCTTTATTGAAATCTGGCGAGATCACATTTTAATAATATAATGTTACATACAATTATGTAACAATAATTACCATAATACGATTTATTATTGTACATATTATAATTACAATTACGTTGAACAGGGAAGTCCGTAGACTGCCTACCCCTCTGCGTAACAGGTGTGAGAGCTTATGTTTTTATGAATATAATTACTTACAACTAAATTTAAAAATACGACATCTATGTGAAAATTTAATAAATTTTATTTATTTAATCGTATAAATGTTACAGAATAAAAATTAATAAACATTACACATTCCATCTTAATCGTCAGGAAAGACATCGCATTCTGCATTCATTTCAGCATCCACTTAGGACTATTATTTTATACGTGGTAGAGCCATGCTGCAGCTATATTAGTAGCATAGTTGTAGCACGAATGGGTCGGCTCGACCGGGGAAGGACCACGCTCTCACATAATACCAGCGTAAAATAGCAATTTAACACTGCTGTGTTTCGTATGATGAGTGTAGAGAACAGGAGACCCTTTTTACTGGAAAAGAGGCATTCCATCTTAGTCCTCACGGGTGACAACGCATCTGCATTTTGATTCGCAAACGAGGATAAATGTAGATGTCTATGGGCCACAGCAACAACTTACCATCAGGTGGACTATGCGCTCGTTTGTCACCCGATCCTATAAAAAAATTAATTAGGAAGGCGAGGTTTGTCACTATACTATAAAAATATAAGTTTATTACGCCATTTAAAACACAATTAAAGTTTTTGTAATATAATATTGTTAGTTATAGCTGTGATGTCGGCGTGATTGTACCCATTATTTCATCCCGTGGGCGCGGGTTCGAATCTAGAAAGGATCGAAATGACCACGTCAGAATCAGACCAGATACCGAATCAGAGCGGTGTCGGTATTATCTCGTGCATGATAGAACTTTATACCCAAACCGACGACAGAAATAACTGATCCGGCTGCCAAGCGCGACGATTATGGCAAATTCTTCTGGTAGTGAGAAGTTGATAATTTTGGGCGAATAAAAAATGAAATGATTAGACGATAACCTTCGGATCAAAATTCGTTTTCGTTGCATCCGCTTAACATTCAATTTTATCTTATTTTTTATTGTTAACAATCAAAACTTAACTGTAAGTAAAGTTGAAAACAAAAACAAAATCAGATTTCTTTAGAAAACCAGCTCCTAGAAAACAATGACTTTTATTTCTGATTTTGTTGTTTGAGGGTAGATAAAAAATTGCGAGGGACCGTACATCGAAGGAATTTTAAATTTTTTTATGATAAGAAATATCAAATAGCCTTACTTTTTCTTAACATACTTTTACGTACTTGTAAATTTATAAAAACCTGGTTACTTAATATAAGGTAATAAAAATATTATTTCACAACCATATAATTTTACTTTCCCGAAAGAAATATCAATAATCGATGTGGATAAAATTCTTACAAATTTTTGAAAAAATATTTATAATAATTACTTATTATATATATTTAATTAACTTACCTATATACTAACATTATATTTAATCTCTTAAAGTGTAAATTATTGTAGGTCTAATCTAGCGTATTTATTTATACAAATAACGTATTAAGAAATATTATGATTTTACAAATGCTTTCGTACGTCGTGAACCATCAGATTCTTAAGATAATTGTCGTCTTCAGCGAGACATTCGACAATATCAAAGTGATCTAAATCGTCTTTTATTTCCAAATACATATTCTGCATAAGACACGTGTTGTGGAGGAGTTCGTAGAACTCTCTAGACTGTTTTTTGAACGCCGGGCTGTCGTTTTGTGCGGCTAGAATGTACACTCTTACTCTTCTTGCCTGCAAATGAGTATAGCAATCGAACAATGGCGACAGTGGTATTGCCCACTCATGTGGGAGTTGTACAGCGTCATTGACAGATGTATGGACTAACTCCCGTAAATCGTATATACCCGAGATAAGGAAAGCTCCTTGTAACCGATGCGATCCTGGATTGTCCTCGAAGAAATCGACGTTGCTTAACAGCTTTGCCACTAAGTGAGCGCCGGCTGAGTGACCCGCAAAGTACACGCCTCTGTAAATAAATAAAATAATTAGAGCATTATAAATAAAGAAAAAAGGAAAGCTGATGATCTATGACCCAGTTCCTTCTCTGCGTAGAACTTCTCTGAATTTCACACATCACTATCCTTATAGCCTTTGAAGAGTTCTCTAAAGAGTAAGAAGGCCAATTTTCAGACATTCATAATAAACAATAACGTATACAGTTGGTAAATAAAACTTGTCAATATAGCCAAATCTTTTACGTATATGTTCAAATTGCAAAACGTGTTTTTTTTTAAATATTCTCGGGCTTAAGGAAGTGTCTTTGTAACGAAAGAAGTCCCTTAGCAACGGCACCATATGATATATAGGCTACTACTACAATTGCATATTTTATATTATTCTTCACAGCTTCATTCTAGCGATTTATGTTAACTTGTAGCTCCATCTCATAGCTTCCAGCCTTGCACGGTACTTAAAGGCAGAAAAAATTATTTAATGGCAATGCAAAAAAATTTATAATAATATTATTTTATGGAATGAAATACATAAATTCATAAAAATATTGTCATGGAAATTGTGATGCGGGAAACTATGAGAGTTCTCTCTGTCACGGCAAAATAAATTAATATTAACGAATTTTTTTATTTTTTAATAAGGCTTACCAACTAAATACATAAAAGGAACTTATAATATCACGATTTTTGAAAAATACATTATACATATGCGTTTAAATTAAAGGTATGCACAGCATTTTTTAATAATAAAAGACGTTGTTTTACATAATACATATTAAATTTTTTAAACTTTTTTTAGTACAGAAAAAAATATGAAAGAATTAGAAACCAAAAATAAAAACTAAAAACTAAAAATGGCTCTTGCAACAATCCAAAATCGATTTTTTTTAAAGTAGTAGGTTTTTCACAAAAGACTAACTAACTATATAATATACGAGCATAGTTTTTCGAAAAATGATTAGATATTTTTATGACTACATATTATACAAATTGAAT